CCAGTGGGAGTTGTTATCTCTGTGAGGATTCTGTGACCTCACAGCCTCTTGCAGTATTGGGGCTCTACAATGAGTTGCATTACAGTGTCGAGTCGCCATCACGCGCAGTGACACGCCTACTGAGACTTCATATTCTTACAAGTGGTGATGACCTAATGTTCAATGGCAGTTTTCCAGCAGGTGAGCGAATCGATAACACTGGAAGGATTTGCTTTTGACTATCACGTATGCAATCTGGTATGTTGAGTTCTAGCGAGCGCCACTTATCACTTCTCAACCATCAACATCTTCCTATTCCAGATTCGAGAGGAGCAATTCAGCCTTTCGAGTGACCTGCACACTCAGCATTTCAATTGTCTGAATATCCGATTAGATGACAGATGCTATTCTATTTAATTTGGCATAACTGTTTTTTGAACGAATTGACTTGCGTTTTCGATAAGTATCAAATATAGATGAACGAACACAGCATACCTCGCGAATTCGCTTTCTTGTGGATCATGTCGGGTAGTGCAGGCTCGCACCAGGAGTAGGAATATGCCAAGAATCTCAACCCGAATTCGTTGCTCGTCGTTGTGTGACTAGGCGTTCCTGGACCTCACGATTTGCCAGTTCCTTCGAGCATGTGTATCTTGCTGCATAGTTGTGCTGATATGGGAACATATTACGTTAACTGTTGTCAGTTGAGACTGTTGCGGTGTGCAGTCCATCACATCTGTGTCTCCGTTGTCCCATTTGTATCAGCTAATATATTAGCTAAGCTATACCATCCCATTTGTTACTCATAAGTCATTGGTGTATAATCATGTCTAGGTATACCCAACAGGGCCGTATTGGGTTGCATACATCGGCACAGAGGCCTTGGGTATACACTGCATAGGGCTCGAGCGACAAAAACATCGAGTCGATGTTTTATTGTTCCGCGAAAGAAGTTCGTTTCAGGTGGGCGAGTAAGTGTAACCATGTCACGCTAATATAGTGCTGACAATATGTGCTAATATAGTGATGGTGGGCCGACTTGTCGCCAACAGACGTTTTGTGTCCGTCATGAACTCAGCTGGCATTGCCAGCCTGGCAAGGACCGGGAAGGAGACCGAACCCAAGGACTGAATAAATATTTAGAAATCCGTTGTCATTTACGCTCAAGATGTTCATGACGGAATATTCTGATGACAGATGTCTGGACCACCAAGTGTAGCCCATGACAGATAAATGGTGCTTTAGATCACTGTTAGAAGATGAAATGGAGAAAAGTGACTCATAACGATGTTCGTAAACGACAAGAAAACCATTCGAAGCAGACTTAATGACACTCATGATATCATTCTCATCTTTCGATAGTCATTACTTTGAACAGTTAAGGAGATTGAACGAGGGTACCTGACTCAACGACGACCCAAATCTAAAACTCTCAAGGGGCTTCAGTAGCCTCGGATGCCATCCGACGGATGGAATCAAGGGCAATATGGGTTGCATTGAGTGCGTCTAGTTCCCCGATGTCGGGTAGATTGAACTGATTGGGTACACCAATTTTCCTAGATGCAACAATAGCATTGGTGATGTCCTCACCCACTAGACCAAGTGTAGCGAGTAAGGCGGCGACACCGGCAACTGTAGGGGTCGACATCGATGTGCCACTCTTATAACCATAAGTGTCAACAGGAATCGTCGAGTAGATGTTTACACCAGGAGCGGCAACCTTTGTAACCGAGCCAGCGTTCGAAAAGTCAGCTAGAGTGATGCTCTCGGATGGGTTGGAAGTACTGGCAGCAACACAGATCATGGATGGGATATTCTTCGCGAGGCAACAAGGATAGGTTGGGAAGGCTTCGAGACTCACTCCCTCATTTCCGGCGGCAGCAACAGTGATATGTCCAGCAGCGGCGGCATTCTCGAATGCAATTCTCACGATATCACTTGAGCCACCACCATAAGAATGGGAGGATACTGCAGCCCCATTCTCAACCGCGAAGT